GAGTCTTGAGCACAGCTTTGTTTTATTTATACTCATTACAGAGGAAACTTGCTCACAAAGATAAGTTTGTTTTCACTCTACATTGTAAAGTATGAAAATAAAGTTTACACAACGTGGGCCGGATTTAACCTGCTTGCGGGCCGGATATGGCCCGCGGGCCGCATGTTTGACACCCCTGGTCTAGTCTACATGCAGCCAGGACCAAAAGTGTCACTGACGCCATCTTAACGGCTCAGTTCTTCAAAATTTCAGTGCTTCATGTGAGATGATTGTATAAATATGTACACCGTTATTTACATGAAACTATGTGCAGCAACATGTGGAACCTCCAGTGCATTCAGGGGTCAAGTTCAAGTTTCGCAGATTAATACAGCAGGATAATGTTCCGACTTTTGACCCGAGTCTCCTCTTTCGACAAAAAATCTTATCAGATATTCCTACCGTGTATGGTGTGTTAAGAGCGTTCTGGTCTGCTCGGTAGTAGGCCGGGACCGCTCAGATCAAATCGGACTGTCTTGGCCAAAGTTTGAGGACAAACAAGCAAACTGCCTGTCGAATGTGACATGTAGCCAATCAGAAAGCAAGTACGCTGCACGCTCTTCAGCCATGTTTGTTTACAGTGAAATCACAATTGCGAGATTTCCTGTCTCACAGGGAAATGTTCGTAAGTGAAATCGTAGGACCAAAACTGGCTTAGCAGACATGTGTTCTTGCCACATGTCGGGTCTCTCATGCTTTCAAAGTCGTTCAAATATTTAAAGAAGCCCTTCCATCTGGAGCGGGCCTAAGGCTGCTTTAAGACAGCAACTTTACACTTTGGATGTGGGTCCAATGCTGAAGTAAAACTTGACCAAATGGAGCCATGTTGAAAGTTCATTACTGCTTAAAAACATCCAGTTATGTAAACACTATTTTATTAATTTAGAAACTTGAAGCTGTTTTAAGATGACAACAATGCACCATATTTCTGTTTGAGGGGAAACAGTGTTTGCAAATAAAGTTGATGGCAGTGTAATAACATCTGCAATAATGTCAAGGGAATTGAAATGTTCTGAGATTAGAAGTGTATTTAGGAATGTATTTTGGTCTTGGATTCATTTAAATCAGGATTTAAACAAACTGAAGTTGGTGCCATTCAGGAAGTCAGATTTAACAGATAAAATAGTAACTACTTATAACAGAAATATCCTTCAAAATAGCCCAAACATCCTTATTAATTTTAATTTTTGGTATTTTTCACTGATAAAAGACTCCCAATAGTTAGTTGTTGGTTAGGTTATGCAATGTTGTGTCACCAGCACAAAAATGTGACAAGGATGCCTGTTTATTTTTCAAATGAACATGTAAAACTTGGTGATGGCACTTGATGAAAAGCCAAATGATAATTAAAGTTTTTTAAATAGTCACAAAGGAAATCCTTCATCATAGCTGGGAATTCTCTGAAACAGCAGAAACAGATTATTGAAAAGCTGACTGCACACGCTCTCTGTGTCTAGCGCCACATTTGTTCCCATAAAGTTAAGCAAAAGTGCACCTAAGATACGATGATCCAGTAAAACACACAGGAGTATAAAAGCTGCACAGTCAGGACAAGAGACCTTTTCAGCTGAGGAGCAGAATCAGTAACGGCTCAATGAGAGGTACAAGTTCAGACCTGGGCCAGCTACTAGGAGCTGTTTTCACAAAACAACTTAGGATTCATGCAGGAGTAAATCATCTAAGAAACAGCTGCCATTAAGAGTTGTGCCCTGGGGTCCCGTGCTGCTCAGCAGATCAGCCCAAAACCATCTCTCTAGAGCCTCCGAGCCAGGCCGGTGAGTCTAAATCAGAAAGATCGTTTCCACTGCAGCACAACCACACTTGCAGAAACATCTCTCTGCCTCTGCTTATTTTGTGTTGTGTGATGATGTAAAACTACCAAAGCAACTTTAGGCCCAAATATGTGCGTTAAACGTAAAAAAAAAAGCATTGTTTAGATTACGTCTGTTCTAGAATTCTACTTTCATTTGATTATTATTATTGAAGATAAGGTGGTCAAGTTGTTTCAAAGTTGTCGCGTGCCCGCTCGCTTGTCCCTGTCGGCCGTGACGTGTGTGTGTGTGTGTGTGTGACTACTACAGACAAATGCATGAGAGAGTTAGCAGCCTTGAAACAGCTTGATGAACAACTCTCCCCACATGTTTTAAAAATGCTAATATAACGTTTCTGCTATGCTAAATAATGATTTCTCTATAGAACTGCAAAGTCCAACTGGGGGAGGAGAGTAAGGTCTGCACTGTGGAGTAGGGGTTGTATGAACTAGTCGACTAGTCGACTTCATGGCTCTGTAGTGACTTTTTATGCCTGTCATCGACTAGTCGCTGTCACGTGATAATGACTGACAAGATGCCGTCCTCCAGCAGGTGATGAGCCCCTGCGTCGGGAGGCGGAAGCGACGCGCTGTGCCAGAGTGTCGGTACTGACACCGGCGGTAAAACGGACATTTAACCAAACTGTGACCTTTTCCCTCTTGCAATTTTACCTTCCCCTCACCCCCATCCTAATCTTAACCAGTTTGCGCATGCAAAGCTCTGATCGTTGACGTGCTCCAGACATCTGCGTCCTGAGCACCACCAAATCAGGTGTCACCTCCGGTGACGCCCCCCCAAGATTCCACTATCTCCGCTCCGCTCCGGCACGAACTCCGCAGCAAAAACGGTCCCGGCGAGCAGCGGCACTCCGCTGTTTTTGCGGTCGGTAGATCTTTTAGAACTGCAGTTCAAAGGTAACTCATGAGGTGAATATATATGAACCCAGGTAGCAGTTTTTCTTTAGGATTGAGAGGAGATGCAGGAAGATAATAAACAGGCAGGACAGAAAAATAGTCAAATAAAAACAAGTTAGTTTTTGTACCTGGTGGTTGCAACAAACAGACACCATTGAAGGTAATCAGAAGTGAGGAACAGAAAATGAAATAATTATTTTAATGTTTAGAGCAGCAGGAACTCCGAGAGGCTGCAGGTGCATCAGTGAGTTTGTGGCTGCTGCGCAGGGGGAGGGGGGAGAGGGCTGAAGCAGAAACTACCGTTGTTAAAAGAGATGTGTTAACTTAGAAAATTCTTTCTTTCGATTTGGGCGCAATTTTAATCGTCAAAAACTCCAGCGAACCTACCGACCCCCCCCCCCCCCCCCCCCCGCGTTGCTTCAGGTGTATTACGTCATCAACGACTAGTCAAAGTCGACTCGATTTTCATTACTTGACTGTCGACTTTGAAAAAAATTAAGTCATGCAACCCCTACTGTGGAGGGGGGCGGAGTTTACAGCTCCTTCTCCAGATTTAAAGAGACAGTACCCAAAAACGGCTCATTCTCAAGACTCTCCTCAGAACAGGGGTAGATGAGGATCTGTAGAGCAACAATAATGAGGAAATCAGAACAAAGAACTGCAGTTCCACTGTATTTAGACCCCAACTGAAGGATTTAGATGTAAAATGGAATAACTTAAAAGCAGCATGTTGTGTCTCCTTTAAGGGCAAAATTTTAATAAGTTTAAACTGTAATAACAAGTATTTTTCTGAATAAGGATCAGAGCTGGAGAAGAGTGTTCATAAAAGACCTAATGCACCGTGTCTTGAGGTTAAACTTCAATGTTTTTCTCTTTGAAGATAAGTAAAAAAGGTCATAAATCATCTGGTAAAGGGGTTTAAAGAGACAAAGACAAATCAGTGAAGGAATCTCCCTGCGATGGAAACAGGAATCTCTGAAAGCCAATATAAAAACAAGAATGAAACTTTATCCTTTAAGGTTTCCAGCCACACTTTGTTTGCTTTGCAGTCTATTCTAAAAGTAAGTGGTGCAACGTGAACCCTGTGGCCGTCTGAGTTTCTATAGGTCGGCGGGGCGGGTTAGCAGTCAGACTAAACTGTAAACGCTCTGTCCCGAGCCCAGCAACACCACTCATCCTGTTTGGTACCGTCTGATTCATCCTCTTCAAAAGAACAAGAGCAAACTTCTGAACAGCTGCATGCTGACGCGCCAGTAAATCCAGCATGACCAAAAACCCTGACTCTCACCAAGAAAAGGGAGGATGCAGATGGCTGGATTGTAGTTTATTGCAACACATCGTTTCCAGGCAGCCAAAACAACAAAAAGACCCCCCCCCCCCCGCACACAGAAACATACACTTCTGCTCTTTCCTTAACATCCCGGGATTTCAAAGGCTGTCAGCAAAGAAAGAGCAACACTGGGAGCACGTTTTGTTTGTGGGACAACACAGAGATGCCATTAGGGCTTTAATCAGAACTATTATTTGGAGTCAGCCTTGAGTGACAGCACTCTTCCCCGATTTGCTCCCCCCTCCCAACCTCTTTGGAAGGAGTGACGATGGGTGGGGGGCAGGAGGAGGAAGAGCGGAGCGGGGAACTGTGGGAATGTCTCTACATCGTCGCCACGGCGGGCAGCTCCTCAACATGGCTTTAAATTAGAGGAAAAGAAAACACAAGCTAAAAAAAGACGGCCTCCTGACTTTACTCCTGCCTGCTAATTTGTTGCCACTTGAAAAAAACGAGGGGAAAATAGCAGCAGTTGAAATCACGCTGCTTTAAAGTGAGCTGATGCCAGCCGGCGTGGATGGCAGGATACTTAAACACAGGGAGAGATTTAGGTCAGCTCTGTCAAACTTACACATACATTTAAACCAGTGTGGGTGGACTCTACGGAGGTCTGGTTGCATTCTTATTAGAGGGAAGCAGAAACAGAGAACCAAGAGTGTCTGGCTGGCCCAGATCGGACCCGTGACAGCTGGGGCTTGAAAGCCTCACATCCGAAGCCAGGGCTCGTAGCCACATAGCAACACCGAGTTCTTCCCACCCCCTCCTTTCCAAGACCTCACCCTGAAAGATCACTGATGAACAAAAACAAACGGCCCCTAAATCCTTAATCCAAGTGTGACAGAACTGCCGTGAAGGTGGCAGCGTGGCTAGATGTTTTATCCGCTGCCATGTCTGCATGTGTGAGGGTACCTTGTCGATGAGCGGCAGGCAGCGAGCCACCCTGTGCTCCAGTTTGACGATGGTGATGAAGGCACTGTCCTGTCGTTCATCCTCGCTCGTGTTGCACAGAGACAAAGGGTGATACTGCAGAAAAAAGCAGGGAAAGATCAGTCTAACTCTCATTAGGGTTTGTCGTTGGGTCAACCTTAAACCTACTGAAAAGGGCCGCTGCTGAAACCCCGAGTTCATAAACAAACCTCAGATGAATAAGAACAGTGAACTTATAATGGAGAATATAATTTTCATGTCAGGTTTTTGCAGAACTAAGGAGCAGTCCTAGTGCTGATGCAGCTTTGGATAAAATCTATCATCATTTTATTACATCTGATCTAGTGAAAACTGGGAGGAAATGTCTGCAAACAGGCCCAAGTTTTTACAGAAATCTGCTAAAATGTCGAATTAGTGTAGCTATGTTTGCGTATGAAGGTCTGAGCTCTTCTTCTGGTGGCTTTCTTGCTGCTCATTGGTATTATTTCCCTTATTAGCTATGGTCTAAAAAATAAAGGTTAACTTATGATTTGGTGTTTGTAGCATAGAACACACATTTGTGTGTTTACAAACCTGTAAAAAGGAAAGTTTTAGGAAGAAAACTTTTGTTTTCATCAGTGAGACTCCGCCTTGAAAACAGTGACTTGTTAAAGTGACAACGTGTAGTTTTTATCATTAATCTCTGGAAATACCCATCAAAATGTTGTTGAAAATGAATGAAGTGCTGCCCGGTTGATGAAAAAGATTTGCGCCTTCATAACATATAACCATAAAAATCTGGTCTACAATACATGGGAGCGGGTCTAAGTCTCTGGGCGACGCCATATTGGATGCCATGTTTCTTTCTACAGGAACCCTTGAGAACAAAACACATTTACTGATTTGTAACAAACAGTTACAAAACTTTCACCATTAATAAACATTGTTGTTTTACGCATTTGCCTCTTTACTCATTTCCACTGATGATAAGGAGTCTGATGTGCTCGTCATTTTGCTTAAGTTTGCACTCCCCAGGCCTTTTTGACCCTAATGGGCATCCATTGGTAAGGCCTTACTCCAACACAAAATACAGCTTGCTTGCAATGACGTAGGTATCTACTGCCCCCTATCACCAGACAAAACACACACTGCCACTTTAATATGTTGAGTCTTGTGTGAGATGCAGGGAACAATCGGCCGCATCACAGGAGTCTGGGACACATTCACAAAATTTAAGCAACAGATTTTCTTCGAGGAAAGGTATGAGGCAACTTTGGAAACCTCGTAAATAAAGAGTCGCTGTGATTCTAACAGAAAAGTCACATATTTTACCAGCTGTTTTGAGTGTCCAGCTGATCACAAGAGCAGAGATTTTCATAAACATTTTGTAGGTTTAAAAACATATTTCTGTTAAATAACATCAAAATCATGCAGTGAATTTCTTACACAAAGCTCCAAAAGCGTTTGTGACCTTAAAGATCACAAAGACACAAGTCGGAGTCAAGAACCAAAAGAAGAAACGTTCAAAATGAGCTTTTAGAAGATAGTCTAGACAGAATTACAAAAGCTACTTTCACACTATTAAAGGACAAAAGTTGGAGGCCTCTGTGCGTGAAACTAAGCCTCTTCTCCTCTAAACTGTCTCTTTTGATATCAAGAGGAAAAACTCTGGCAAGCTACGAAATCAATTACATGGAAGGTGATGTTCACTCCCAGTTTAAGCCTTGAGGATTGAAAGAATGAGAGGTAGCCTTTGGTAGGAACATTTGATCCCCTCTGAAAGGAAGAAAATTCATAGCTGCTGAAAGGCTGCATTTAATGGCTCAAAGGATAGCAGCAGTGTTTGCAAGTCACAGACATGCTGTCACGAGTACGAGGATCTGTGGGGAAGACAGCGATGTGCTTCTGAGGCATCCTCACGGGAGCGCACATCCATTTGAAAGAGTCAGAGACAATTGGAGATCGCTCCATGGTGAATTTATGGGTGCTGCTATGCCCTTCCCTGTTATTGTCCCAGTCCAGGGCTGGTTTTGCCCCCCCCCCCCCCCAGTAGGCCCCTCATCATGTGGCTGCAGACCTCCCCCTCAACTCGTCCAGCGGAAATCCCTAAATTAAAAAGACCCAAGGGTGACATCAACAGCTGGCATCCCTGGGCAGGGGAACTGAAGTAATGCTCTGCTGAGGGCTGGTGCATGTCTGTCAGATGGAGAGGAGACAGAACACAGACTGAAGAGAAACAAGAGTGGGAGAAGAAGATAAAAGAAATGGTCAGAAACACAGCAGCACCTGGCTGGTGTCCTAAATTCCCATGAAGACAGGAAGCATGAAGGGACAGTGTAATGATCACTTTTTACACACAGATATGATATTTTAGGACACGGTGGGGCCCTTAAACTTTTATCTTACTGACTGTAGCTGTAGAACAGCAGACTGCGTAAAATAAAATCCATCAACAAGAAATTAAATAATAATTTTGACCAGGAGGAACACAGGAAAATAATGAGTTAACACCAGGGATGTGTATTTTTTAAATTCTGGCGATACGATACATATCACGATACAGGGGAGACGATACGATGTATCACGATATATTGTGATACATTCAGTCAGACATCACAAGTAATTTTTTTTACTGAATTTATTGTAAGAATGTTCAATAAACAGTCCAAACTGATACGTAACGTGTTTAACATGAGGTATCTGAACCAAGATGGAGGGTTTTACATTTCAATGGTGGAAACAAAACCCATTGCACACTGCTGCCAACTAGCGGGTGGCGATTGAATTGCACAAAACGAAAAGAAAATACACAAATGTTTGCATGTAAATTCTTTCAAGAAGTAGATACTTTTGAATATTGATGTAATAATCGCAGGAAAAAAATCACAATATATTGCCATATCGATATTTCCGATACACGGCTTTTGAATATCGATATAATATTGCTGGAAAAAATATCACGATATATTGCCATATCGATATTTTCTTACATCCCTAGTTAACACCATGGGCTCCATAAGCTTAGATCTAAACCATCATCATAAATCTGCTCAGGTGCGTGTATTTCTACAATTAGGGACAATCAAGAGGCAAATGGGGAGAAAATGTCTAAATTAAATAGAGAAACAAATATAAATATCATAAAAAAATACTCTTAAATAAATACTAGAATAAAGTGCAAATGTTTCTAGAATTAGGTGAAATGCCAGAAAAAAATACTTCCACAATAAACCAGAAATTTCAAAATGGCCAAAATATCAACTGAAAGAAAAAACTTCGAAAGGTGGAGAAATTCTTGAAAAATTATTTCCAGAAAAAATTATGAGACAAAAATCTAAACAATTCCACAGTAAATTCGAGACATCAAAAGGTCAAAATATTATTATAAATGTTTCTAAAATATATTATTCAAGAATGAAGTCAAAATGTTATTGTTACAATAAAGTTTAAATGTTGAATATTTTCAAATAAATTCTAAATGATGACAAAAAAATTGAAACGTTACAAAATGAAGTCAACATGCGGAAAAAAAGTCCAAACATTATATCAAGGGGAAAGTTTATCATTTCATTTCTAAAGAAAGTCAAAAACCAGCAGCATAAACAGACTCAACCCTGACTAGAAGAGCTTTATACTGTACATTTGATTTTATAAAAAATACTTGAGCAGATCAAGTCTTAGCATGAGTTTGACGAGAGGAAAAAAACAAAACAATAAATTATATTTTGTAAAATTTTAGATGTTTTGAGAGTAATTTGAGATGTTTGACACTCTTATTTTGAAGGACTGAGGGAAGTTACACTGTGGAGCTGCTCTGGAGTGAAGACCGCACCTTAGACGGATTTGAGGAAATGCTTTGTGCTGTTATTAATAGATTAATCAGTGAAAACACACCCAGAATCCTTACTTACAGGAACAGGCCGGGGGAACAGCGAGTGCCTTCTGAGTTGCACGAAGATGCTGTTGCATATGTCGAACCCTTGCATGTTGCAATAAGAGCTCAGGGAGGAAGGAAGCTGTGGGGCAGTAGAAACCCTGGCTTTCCCTACACGCTGCGCTGCCAGCTGTCTCCACCAATCTGCATTTACTAGGCTCAAATTAAAGGCCTACAGTTGAACGTGGCCTTTAAGAAAAAAGAAATAAAAAAAGCATGTTTAAAGGCATTACTTCTGTGATTTTTTTGTGTGTGACCTGGGATGTTTTTGCGGTAGATTTGTGGGAAATGCAAAAAAAAAAAAAAAAAAAGAATTTTACAAGATTGTACCTAAAAATGTCTTCTAGTCTTTAGGCTAACCTGGTGGTGTTTGGACATTAAACAAGTCGATGCACGGGGCTTTCGAAAGGAGATAATAACCCCAGAGCTGAGCCAAACGGGCTCAGAAGGAGTGGCTGCCTTTACTTTCTTCTGGCATTCTGACGCTCTGAGGCCAACCACCTATGTTTTGCATCGTCGACTAGACCAAGCATTATCTTCTATTTTGGTTGTGCCCACACCGCTTACAATCCGAGGGCTGCGAACACTCTCCATGTGCCACCATTGGTGCCGTCTACCACTTAGAAGCACGCTGCTGCTGGACTATAAACAGCTACCGGGACAAGTCTGGAGCGTCTTCTTTTGGTGTTTGTGTGGCCCTGAGAAAAAAAAAAGAAAGGGCCTGGGAAACCAAATCACTGAGTCTCTATTTCACAGGCACTAGAAACCACAGGCAACGCAAACTGTTCCCCATAGACTGGTAACAATGCTCACTCCTCCGTTCTGCCTCCTCCTCATCTGTCTAGATCTGTTGCAGAACTGACGAGGACATGTCCCTCTGTTCCTTTGTAGACTTGATTAAAGGCATTCCTTTCCAGTTCAATCAAAGACGTCTCCAAAAATATTCCCAGGCAGGATTCTAACAGCCCCTAAAAGAAATACAGGGACAGAAAAACTTGGAAGTAAATAGTAGCTGTGGTAAAAAGTCAATAACATTTTTCCCCTCTCACTTAGCCCTGCGGATCTTCTTTTTTCATCTGCCAATAATCAGCAAGAGAGCTTTTCTAGTTCATCTGCTGCCAGCAGGGAACCAAGCCCAGGCAGTTATGTCAGTGCTTTGGGGGTGGAAGGGGTGGATGGGGGG